TAAATAAGTAGTATATATATATATATATATATATATATATTGAACACCAGAAATCAGCACTAATACCCTTGAAATTTGTCTTCTAATTGGAACTGTAAGTGCATTTTCTATAATATTACTTCTAAAGTTCACTTTAGTAGTTACCCTCCAACTCAAAAGGACATTAAAGTATAAGCCTTACTATTACTAAACAAACAGTTCACTACACACGGCAGACATCATCACTTACACAAACTATTTATTATATGTTGCTAACAGTATAAAGGCAGGATAGATGACTTTAGCTGCAGAAATGGCCAAGGTTGTCTTCTACTTCTGTTTCCAACTATTTAGTAGCTCCCAGTATATCTTATATTCTATATCAGATTCGAGCCACCTGCAATATTTACATATCACAATTATGAATTAGAGACATCGAGGAGTCAAAATAGATTGCAATGCTGTAAGTTTGGGACTAAAGGCATCTAGATACACACACTTCTTTTGGGGAGAAAAAAACCCAGAAACACCAATGATTATATCTCCTTAATTAATAGGAGAAAGATGTAAACGACTTCTGCATCAACATGATCTTTTGCACTTTGTTAGTTCACATCCTAGTGAAAGAATAAAGAAAATTCAGACCAACATTTTTTCTTTGTCCTTTTTCATATGAACATAGAAGAACATGTAACGGGTGAGATCAGAACCTGTAAAACAAAAGAGCATAGAGGACTCTTCACTCAATCTGGAAAAACAGAAAAAAGGAAGAACACGTAAATATCATCTAGCTTTTGAACAATGAACACCAATGTATGAAGCTAAATTCAAACTGAGAAACAATAATGATATTTTACCCCCAAGCGCTTCTTAGTCCTGGCCAACAGCACTTGAGGATCCTGCTTGGTATGTGTGTAGGCATCAATCTTGCCCAATTCCTCATAACAACATAAGTTGAGTCAGAATATCTACAACTACAAGTAGGTGGTCTAGAAGTGACAAGCTTGATAGGTAAGTGTAGCAAAGAAACGAGAGGTTATACAAATAAAAACAAATTTAATTATGTAAAAGAAATCAGAAACCACACCGTAATTGCTTGCAAGTGTAGCAGTTTCCTCAAAATGAATATGGATTTAATACTAATGCAATTCAATGTAATTTGGCAGAGATGACTAGTATTAGTTCTCTTTTCCAAAACCAACTAAATTAGAATTTTTGATTGAACAGTGAAAGGAGATAATCTTCCAATTTCATGCTAATTTGATCAGAAGTTCAATAAATTTCACATAAAAATCAATTTTCTTTCACAGAATTGCAAAATGAAGCAGATGTACAGCTGCAGGAGAATGTCACACCACCATGAACAGCTTGGCATGATAAGAAAGATCAGAATATAGAGAATTCAATGTTCCCCATAGGCAAGGAACTACCTCAATCCACAATATTAGGTTAGGCCTGCCTTCAGTGATGTCATAGTTCTTCACCTCCTTCAAGAAAGTCTGGAGTCTTTCAACAAATGGAGCATATGCTATGTCAACCTAAATTACATCAGGAATTAAAAAAAGTTCAGAGCAGCAATAATAACATTATTAAAAAATGATAGGACTTGGTCATCATTTACTACATGTCTTCATACAAAAATATCATCTCTACAACACAAGGAAAAAAAGAAATGAAGTAACAAACAATTGCTTCCTAAATAACTATCACCATATTACCAAACAAAATAGTTGAAGCACCATAACATAAATATCATGTCTACTCATAGAAATCAATTACCAAGACTAAGATGTAAAACTCACCAGTATATCCAGCAATGTGTAAATTATGAAATTCGGTAAGGACCAATTGGCGATCGGCAAAGTCATTAAAAATTCATAGTAATAGAATAAAGTGATCTAAAAATTCATGACTTGCATCCATTCTGATGACCAGAAACAATGGTGAAAGCAAAACAATATGGACATGTAGATGAAAGGTCTCGAACCACATGTAAGTACTTACCAAACTAAAATGGCCGAGGAAAAATGGTCCATCATCAAATTTCAAAAGGGCATCCTCCAACTTGTCGAGGGCAGCACCTAAACAGGTTTACACAGATGAGTGCCTAATTGTTTAATTTTATGTTGCATAAGTATATCACAGAAGCTAAGAACATGTTGTCTTCTCTGACCAACATAATCACCGACATCTCCCTTGGAAGTCATTGCAGTGTACATAACCTTGTTGAAAGAATCAGTATAAGACAATAGCTCCTCTGCAAATTGCTGCTTTGCAGGATCCTGTAATTTTCATTACGAGATGTAAACAAACTTATAGAATGAAGTAGCGTTCCTATCAGGACAAATACTAGGAAATTACTTACATCAGGCAGTAACTCTGGCCCTTCAAAATTTTTGTTGATGTACTTTATCAGATCAAGACTCTCTCCTTTCACCTCATTATTATGCTCCAGAGATGGTACCTATTCAACCAATGTTCAAATCGATACTAGCACCACAAGGTAATGATCATCTAGAGGACATCAAGGTGCATCAAACCTTATTTGCGGGATAAACCTCCTTATACCAGGCTGGCTTGTTATCCAGATCAATAGGAACCAATTTGATCTTTTCCTGCAATCCCTGCTCCCCAAGGGTGCAGATTGAATAAAATTTATCATGTACACCTCCTTTTAAAATACATTTGTGTATACACTTCAAAATCCAATCTTTCCAAATAATAATGCAAAAGGATTGTCTAATTGACCCTGCTAAACTTCTTGCCTTATAATTCCTAGTGATCCAGGTGCGCTGCGCATATGGGCATATGTAAGATATATACAACCTTCAAAAAGCAAATAAGAAAGGATCAAATCAATAAGCTGCGATCCAAATAGCATCGTCATAGTGAAAACCGGATGGATCGATCGATTGACTACCTGGTGGTGCCATCGAAGAGTTCCGGTGGTTCCGATGTCGGGTCGAGGGTCGGAGGCAACACCTCCTTCGTCAAACTGCACCAACATCACACCTCCATGATCAGCAACACTTAATCGAATCAAGGAGGGCTTCGAGAAATGAACACGATCCCGCGAATTACCTGGCGGTCGCTGCTGCTGCCATTGGCGAAAGCTATAAGATCGACCACAAGAACTCGTTCTGAAAGCTCGACCTCGACCACTCACTCTCTATATAGTGGAAGCGTGCCACGAAGACGTTTCAAGAAATAAAGTGAAGGATGGGGGCAAATTAGACTTTTCATGATTAATCTAATCAAGGAGGACTTCTAGAGTTGATTCTGAGAGAGCGTCAGCGGTGACGACATACTTGCCGATAGCTGATCCGCTACGGCGTCGCGAAGCAATGTATTCGAACGACATAACGTCCAGATTCGATCATAATTAGTGGGCGCAAAATATTACAGTGAAATGTCGGGTCAATAGTCAAACGGATCGTCGATAGGAACCTTCCACGTAAAACCGCAACAATAAAGACTCTTGAACCGGACTAACTGAACCGGACCGGTCTGGGCCGTGGGCTGCAAACCGCACATGGCCTTTAGCTCTGTTGAAACCGCGCCCCGAAATCCCGTTAGCCTCCTCTTCCGCCTCTCGGCCTCCCTCACCTCCGATTCGAGATTCCCATGGCGTCCCAAAACCCCAAGGGTTCCTCACAGTCGGGCAAGAAGGCCATGGATGTACCTCCCTCGGCGGAGGTTGTGGCCCCTCCTGCTGCGGCGGTGCCGGATAACAGGCCTTCTCCTCCGACGGTTCGCCTCCCAAACCCTAGTTCTGCCCCACAGAAGCCCGAGATCCATGGGAACGCGGAGGGACCAACCGGCGTGGTAGGGCAGAAGGAGACCGCGCCGACCGCCGTTGAAGCCGCTGCCGCTGCTGCTGGTCAATCCAACTCGGGTTCTTCGGAGGCAGCCCCTGTCACCGATCTCCAGAAGAAGCTCCGGCGAGCCGAGCGATTTGGGACGCCCGTGATGCTTTCGGAACAGGAGAAACGCAATTCTCGAGCTGAGAGGTACAGGGTTTGAACTTTGAACTAGCTCTTCTGATTTCCCTTCCCTCGTTTGGATTATGTGAAAAGATGCGATTTCACATCTTAATGATGAAAATTTTCCTAAAAAATAAGAAGAATTTTTTAGGATTTTATCTTAGGTTGGTGGTGGACAGATATGTATGCAGGTGGCAAAAGGGAATCGTGGCGAATTGGCGACCAAAGTTCATAAGAATCATTTAGAGAGAACATTAAAACAAAGGAATTGTAATATTCTTGTATGTTGGCTCGTGATAGTCACCTCTTTTCTTAGAAAGTAGTCAAGATTACCAAAGTTCAACTGAGTAAATATGTCAAGGTTCCAGAGGCTGGTGATGGTTTTATTCAGATAGAAAGGTGTGTCAGATCTATAATATGAATTATGAGTCAAATGAGGAGATAAAGCGTTTTTAAGGATTGTACCTGTAGTTCGTGCTTCTCTAATTCAAGGAAAAGAAGTCTCCCAAAAATAACTAAAAAGGAAAAGAAGTATTCCTTTTGGAAATTTTGGAAAACTAGCCAATCAATCTTTTAAGATGAATAGAATTGTTGGATATAGTTTTCTTATATAACAAGTCCTATTCCCACGAATGCTAGGAAAAAAGAACTATGGAAATAATTGACTGCTCCTATTCTTTATGGTTTATAGCTTAACCATTGCTCTTCTGTGTTATTATACTTGATCTTCCCTGGATTCTCTGACTCTGGTTCAGGACAGGGGCAGGAGCGAGGCAACTCCTGTTTAGGAGTCCAGGAGCTTCAAAAGCCCCCTGCTGTCCTGCTCCCGTCCAAGGCTCAATTGGGCTATGGTTGCTGTTGGCCCATTTAGTGTCCTTGCTGTCGCTATGTTGCTGTCATACTTCTTTTATGGCTGTGGTTGCCACTTCTATGCTTGATTCTTGTTATGTTCAGAAGAGAGAGAAGAGGAGACAGAAAGGGAAGCTTGCACTTGCATTGTATGCCACTGTTAAGCTGTCTTGCAATTTGAATGTTAGAAGCACAGACATAGGACACGGGACATAGACACGACATGACATGAATACAGCGACATGTCATTTTTAAAAAAAATTAGCACACTAGAGGTGGAGGAAGACCTAAGAAAGCTTCATTAAAAACAATAAATGGATATTTGATGGTTTTTTATTGAAGTAGTGATATTGTCCTTAATAAAATTCAATGACAGGAAAAAAAATTAGTTAAGCAATTCTTCATAGATGGGACCTTATTTGTTCTTCTTCTGTTCTGTTTTGGTTGAAAAAACTAAACTGGTGCATTAATTGCACTCTTGGGACCCTATGTTACTTTCTCAAAAATATCGGATTTCTCCATAGAACTTAAGGTGCTTTTCAGAAGATGGCTTTTCTCCACTCTTTGAAGAGACAACATTTGTAGGGATTAAGGATTTTCATTTCCTTGTGTGCTTCAAGTTGGTACTGTGCCTGCATGTGAACATGGTTTTGTACAGCTAATAGAAACATGACATATAAAAGATATAAAGGCTTCAACACACCCTTGGCATGCCGTCAATTCCCATACTTTGCCAGGTAGGCAGTATGACATAATCACTGAAACTTGCAGAAAGTCAAGGTATTGTAGGGTCAAAGCCTTTACATGAATGCACCATCAACTATTTCTCGTGTCTTTTTCTCCATTTTGTTTTATTGCAAACTATATCTCAAGGTGACTTTTGTTAATTGCTATCTTTGAATGTTCAATGCTAATCCTTAATTTAGTAGTCACTTTTTCTTATGAGGTGTGGTCTGAGCAGCTTCTTATTTAAGTTGAAGAGGCACTGATGCCTGAGTTATGACCTGCGTGTATCATCACTCTAAATGTTTACATGATCTCCTGATCCTGTTTTGCTCATCGCCTTGTTCCAGTGAATGCAGGAGCTAAAACATTCAAGATTTATTCTGTGAACTTCTTTCGGCAAGGAAATGGATGCCTTCTTATTTATATGACGTCAGAGTTGTTTATGGACTAAATCCATTGCCTTTTAACTTGCCAGCTTTTACTACTTGAAGATGCTTTTTGTGCTTCAATTGATCTGTTGTCGGTTTAATCTATTGAACTTACTGTAAAGTTAGCATTTTTAAATTGCATGTGGTTGGGGTGCAATACTGCAGTGAGCCTTTTTTTTATTTGGGTGATATTACTGCTATTATGACCCAAATGATCTCCTTATTGGTGGTTGCTGTGCAATTGAAGTAGGTAACAAATGCATTTTAATTTAGCAGTTTCATCTTTTGCGCAGGATGATGCTTTTGTTAGTGTGGAAGAGTGCATTTAACTAGCATCTGTTTCCATAATGTGGTGCTGGTCTCTTTTAGATTTTTGGTTGTTCACTCAATGGAGTGTACCTCTTGCATATTTTTTGGTCATCATACTTTTCAGGCCTTACTATAAGGGAATGATCTTCCTTGTTTCTAGTATTGTTCTGCAAACCATTATTGTTCTATCGTCTTACCGATTTAGCCGAGAATCAATTTTTTTTTTAATGTAGATATTGTTACCTTTACTTCCCTTTACATTGCAGGTTTGGAACTGTATCAACCTTGGATGGAGGGAAGATTGTAGGACCACTAGAGGAGCAGAAAAGAAAGGCCCGGGCTGAGAGGTGCTTACTTTTGTTGACACGACAGATATGTATTAGCTAAAGGTACAAGCTCTAAGTCCGACTCTTTCTTTGCCATACTTTTAGGTTTGGGCTTAAGGCTGAAACTGATGAGGAGGCAAAGAAGAAGGCTCGGTTGGAACGATTTGCACCATACTCAAAGTTGGATACTTCAGAAGAGGAGAAAAGAAAGGCACGAGCAATCAGGTGATGATTATTTTGTTTGGATTTTGGTGAATTTATTTTTAATGCTTTCAGATATAGGTAAAATAGTTTGTTTCTTCGTGATTTATTTTTACCAAGTTTGGCTGTCACACCATGACTTATAATCTAGAACCTGATGTTACGGCTCTCTGGTTTTCGATTTAGAAACTTCTGAAGATTGAAAGTTCTTTTTCAGAAACAATCTAATAGAGACAACATAATCATAGATTTGTATTGCCTTGATTTCCAAGATTGATTCTTTAAACATAGACAACACCTGAGGCTCCTAATATTTTCACTTTTGGAGCACTTTTTCCCTTTCATGTGGCATAAACTTCCCATTTTAACTTGTTTGCACCTAGAGGGAGGCAAAATTCATATTCATAAAAGATTGGTCTACTTAGCATTATACCTTATCAGCCCAATTAATCGGTAGCCTTCATGCTCTTCAGACACAAACCTCATCTGATACTATTTCTCATTGTGTATTCTTCTCAGGTTTTCACAAGCTTCACCTAAAGTTAGCGGCCAATCCAACTCTGACCTGGTAGGTCTATGCAACTAAGAAAGATTCAGGATGTGGGAGAATAATGGTTGTTTTGCTCAGTCTTTACATTTTTCTTAATTCCTTTTTGTTTAATCTTGTTTTTTTTTTTTTTTTCTGAATCCAGAAGGCAACAGCTTTGTAGCTTACACCTGATGGGGAGTTGTCATGATCGAGGGTTTGCATGGTAAGGTACGATGACATCCCCTCCTCTAATTAGCAGCACCCAGATTGGCCAACTTCGAAGTAAAGTTGTTGCCTCTTCTAAAATTGTTTCCTTGCAGGTCTCCAATATGTTCCTGTATCTTCTTAGCCTTTGGTGGTGGTCACAGGGACTGCAGCATATGCAGTTACCACGTTACATTATGTAAAACAAGATTTTGATGACACTGGTGCGGCTTTCTCAATGTATGAAGTAGTTCATGGTGGTTAATGTGGTTAGTATATATCCCATTTGGTAGACAAGTTGCAATGGTGGTTCTGATTTCACTAGCGAAGAAAGGTTATTTTAGTAATTGACTTGCTGATTACATTATGGTTCTTGTTCTTTAGAATCTAGTATTTGTTATTCCCTAATGCCCCATGACTTGAACAATTGTTTTAGTTTTGCTTCTTGATAAAGAAATAAAAATTCTTCAGTTCAGGTGTTTTTGTAGGTAATTTTGAAAAGGTGAGATATTAAAAAAAAACAAATTAATTCTTTCTATGGCATTTTGTCGAGCACCTCTCGCCCTTTCTGTTTGTCCGCCCACGATGGGTTCAACAAGTGAATGATCGGCTTCTGGTTTTTCCTCTCTCATGATCGTATCTCTATTCTTTCCTCATGACCCATGTTGTGGCGTTCCATTGGGCACCTCTAGCCCTTCTATTGTCGTCCACGATGGGTTCAAGAAGCCATCGGTTGAGTTCTACTCATTTATATTCTGAATAAATTAATGGTCGAGTTCTGTTTTTTTCTATCCTATAGTCACACCTGTATTGTTTTCTCATGATTCACGTTGTGGCATTTTGTCGAGCACCTCTCGCCCTTTTGTTTGTCGCCCACGATGGGTTCAAGAAGTGAATAATCGACTGCTGGGTTTTTCTCTCCCATGATCGTATCTTTATTCTTTCCTCATGATCCATGTTATGGAATTTTGTTGAGCACCTCTCGCCCTTCTGTTGTCGCCCACGATGGGTTCAAGAAGTGATCGGTTGAATTCTGTTTCTTTATTATCCTGTCCGTCGTGATCGCGCCTGGTCCACGCACTCGCGGCCGCTTCTCCCCGAGAAGCTAAGCTGCCTGCCCCATTATAGGGTCTACAAAGTGTCGATGAGCCGGAACATAAAAAAGTTTCGAAAAAAGCCTAAAACATGGTTAAAAAACAAAAATATACTGGCGATACCAAAACCTGTACAAGGTGGTACCAACCCATGTAAAAAATGAACTTACAATATTGCTATTCGAGTAATCATATGTAAAAAAAATGAACTTACAATAAAAGAAGAGTAATGGTTTTTTCTCCACTAATCCATCAACCATTAAATCTACAAAGTTATAGCTTTTATATAATAGGCTAAAATCTCGTTCTACAATGAACTTCTCGAACACGGTATAATCTAAAATCCCGTGCAGCCCACATAAAAAAGCCATGAAGGGCAAATGAGGTTGTTATTCTAATGGAATTCAAGCTCTCCTAAGTTACCCCAATGCGGGACATGATTCTACCCATATTAGATCAGTCAAAAGAAAATAAAAACAACTGGAAATGTATGGTAAAGCAAACCAACATACATAATTGGACATAATATCTTTCAAACTGCAAAAACACTTTTTATGATGATGGAAGAAGAAAATGAGAACCAAAAGTTCAACACAACTATAGTAGAGTTCTGACAGAGCACCATCTTCCATGATAGTTAAGAAAATTGAAAAAGAGAGCGGAGTTAAAGCAGCTACTACACAAACAAGAAGCTAAATCAACACCAGGTGAAAACCTAGAACTAAACTAAAACCAGCAAAGAAACAAACGTACAGCGACTCGAGAACTTCTAGGGTTAGAGGACACAAGCACCGTTCATTATCTCGCGAGAGAGAGAGAGAGAGAGAGAGAGAGAGAGAGAGAGAGAGAGAGAGAGAGAGAGAATAATGACACATTATCCGGTCGCCAACCGATCAAGAAGGACAGAGAATAAAATCCATAAGAACATCGAAGCAAGCCATAAGAAGGCAACAGAAATCAAGAAAACAGAGACATAAAGAGTCCAACAAACAAATATGTGCGGCGTCTGCGCTTCAGATGACTCCGAAAGATAAACAGGGAATCGAACATTCTGGAACAAGTTAGAACACGGTAGAAAGAGGGTTTCACCGGCGAAGAATCGAAGAAAAAAAAGGAAACCCGGAAGATTCCGACAAGAAACGAGCACGGAGTGAGGCACGTACGGCCAGAAACCCTAGTCGTAGAACAGCATAATATCCTAAGACAGACGAAAGAAAGAAAGGGTTCATCCACAAAGAATCCAAGAAACACCAACGGATCATAACCAAGAAAAGGATAAATCCACGAAGGAAATCGGAAGAGGAGGATCAAGACTTCGTCCCAGATCGAAATGGCGGACGAGAGCAACAGCCCGAGAATCAAACGCGGGCGACGCGAGAGGCTACGCGCTCCGGATCAAGGAACGGGGGGTGACGAGAAAACGGACACGAAGAGACGGGGAAAGAGGACAGCAAGAAGAACACGGGTTCCGCCGGGTGTTAGGTCGGGCTGAAGGCGGAGCTCGTGGAGCGGCGGGGAGCTGCCACTGCTACGGGAGGGAAGACTGGGAGGGGGGAGGAGGCCTTCAGTCGGAAGGGAATTTATAAGGGGCGGTTCACCGGAAAAAGCCCGCGGAGAAGGACTCATTTTGAAATATTAACTAACTAATCTTTAAAATACCTAAAATACCCCCAGTTTTTATTCATATTATAATTGTTTTTGTCACTCTTAACCAACCAATTATTTACTATATTTTTCCCATAGAATTTGGCAAACAAAATATAAATAATTTTTATTGTTGTTAGGTGTATTTTTGTTGTAAGATATGGCAAAAGGGGATTCTATTTTTTTTGTATCTCTCTCTCTCTCTCTCTCTCTCTCTCACACACACACACACACACACACAAAATAGTGTATATAAGTCATTTAGAATAATTTAGAACAAAATATTATGAGAATTAACTTAAATCTACATCAATGCATTGTTTATGGTACACTATGTAGAAGAAACACATCGCATTCAAGTAAAAAGAGGAATAATAAATAACATGTCTTCATTAATAAATATATATCTATAGATGCCGCGTCGCTTTCGAAGCATAGTACAACGCAAAGATCGACGCTCTCCCACTTACCCGTCTCATGGACCAGCCTCGTACCCGTGGGGCCCGCTTCGGCTCATCGAAGAAGAGGTAACGTTCTAAGGAAGCTTTTCTTAATGAAAAAATTAAAAGTTTCTGTTTTTTTAATTTCAGAACGAAAAACAAAAAACGAAAAACAAAAAGACAGTGCAAGTACCTCTCTTTGCGCGGCACAGGAAATGGGATAGAAGCTGTCGTTGGCCCAAATCATCAAACACTAAAAGCGCATGAAGGAGGCCTCCCTCCGACATCCACTTGTTGTGCGCGGCGGAGGCGTCAAGCTGTTGATCATGGTGCTATGCCCGCTCTTACACTGCCGGCCAATAGCAAGTGTCCTCGAAAGCAACTCTCGTGCGCTTGTTGTGATGCTTAAGCCCGGGCGGGCTCGGTTGTAGTTGCATCGTGAAGTTGATACGAGGATGCTTCCTACCGACTCACACTTGCCGATGTTGCACTGTTCAAAAGAACTTTTTGGTGCACTAAAGTATCCTGAATCAATTGGATCCGTAGGAAGCTTGGAAGATGTCAACATCCTCAGTAATGGCATGATTGTGCTTGATAATTAATGATTGGCTGCTACGTGTTGCCATGGCAGCTTGACAAGTGCTAACAGAACCTGCTGTCTGAGAAGTATGTTTTAATTTATATTTGATGAAAATAATAGAAGATAAGAATAATTATTGAAGAAGCTTTATTGAAGAAATGAAAATGCTTTAATATATTAACATGTTCCCTTTCCTATTTATACAAATTAGGAGAAATAATTTTCCTCAACAAAATAGAAGATTTTTCTCATATAGTTGAGGAAATCTTATCTTCTATCAATAGTGACAGTTAAAATGAGAATGATGTATGTCTTAGGTATCTGCATGCTAGCTAGCTTAATCATCACCACTTCAGTAATTGCTAATCCATCTGAATGCTTATAGAAATCTTCAAAGAGCAACTCTTGCACATGTAGAAGAACCGACAAGTAGTGAGACACAGCAATTTTACTTGAGTTTCATTAAGTAATCAGTTCACACCACAATATAATCACAACTTTTACAAGGGTAAAAGGACTGCTGTCAAAGGACCAAATTAGGACTTGGGAGGGGGGAGCACACAGGTGAAGAAAGAAGGCATGAACAAGTCCATTTCATCTGGTTCTGGCACAGAGTCTCAAATCCTGTTCCCAGAACCAAAAAAGGAAGAAAAGAACAAGGATCAGATTCAAAATCCTGAGCATTCACCTCAATGTCAATCCCAGATCTGCTAGACACATGTGAAAAATTGCAGCAACATGGATGTTAGAACAGTCAGATGACCATCCAGCATGACTCCCTCCTTGCATATGAAAAAAGATGTGGCAAATATAGAATCTTGCACAGATGAAATTTCACATTCCAAGCAAGAATTATCATGGTAACTTCTGCAGTGGCAATCAGATATGACTGGTAGAAGGAAATGGAGATGATGTTGAAGCCGGTGGTTTCGGGGGAGGAATGGCAGCAGTTATGATGGCAGTTGGGAATCCTGATGATGCTGCACAGGAGAACAGCGGCAAAGGAGTTGAGCCATGCATCTGCCATGTCCAGTTTGGGAGAGCTTCCAATCCCACCATGGGCCTCTTCTTTCTGTCTCTTTCCTGTATTTAGCAGGCAGCAGTCGCAGATCAGATTGTATGGAACTGAGAACAGAATACAGAAGTTCTCAGGCAAGCAACTTCTGTAATCATTTGCGAGCGCTGAGCCAAAGCTGAGTATTTTGATGCTGTTTAACAACAAGTAAATTGTTGGGTAAATTGTTAGAGCTGCGTGATTCTTCTACTAAGACAAGCAATATATATTTTTTATTCAGACGATAATATCTAATTAGAATGCTTAAGCTTGATCATGTTGTCCCTGTCGACATTTGCACTGCTGCAGCACGTCAAGCATGAAGAAAAAATGATTCCGACATGAAGAGGCAGGCCCATGACAGGTTGTCAGTGACATTATATGTCGACAATTTGTCCGATTTTGAGAGTACTTACCTACAGCTGATGCAAAGTTCCGAGATTATCCAAGAGTAATTTCTCATAAACCACAAGTCATGGTAGGAACATAGGTTAGCAGGTTCACCCTACGTTCAGATGACATCTCAATAATGTACACATACTATAAATGGCTAGACTAATGCTCCCTAAGGCATAGATCATCCAGCTAAGCCGGCATCGGGAGCGGATTTTTGCCTCTAACAAAGCATCATTGACTAGTTCAAAAATGTCAGCTACTATGATCTTACCTAATACGTTTAAAGCCATGTCATTGTGTTCTCTGCATTGTCCACAGTATCAAGACAAGAACAACTACAATCCATGAGGGAAGACAGAAATAACATTCAAAATGTTACCTCAGTGGTGGAATAAAAAGGAGGATTTTGAGCAGTCCAAGCATGAGATTTATCAGGGAGCATATCCATGTGATACGGAGTAGAGGTTGGTTGCAGAGGAGGGCTGCTAATCTGTAGCAGTAAAAAAGATAGCTGCCATTCAGCATTTACAGATAGCGATTTGCTACTAAAGGATCCCTTGTTTTTCAATGTTAAACAAATATAAAATAATTACAATTATTCATCGAATGGTGCTAATTGTGGGGCACAAAGAACCGAAACAGGATTGAGACATGTTATAAAATGACAAAACCCATAACCTTCTTGAGCATAATTTCTGACAAGAAAAAGCTAAGCTAAGCTTGCAAGAGCATTTTCTTCTGTGAGATGGTATGTTGGCATCCTAAGAATGCTACGGCTTTTAAGGGTATCACTTGTGGAAGAGGAAACAATCTGCTAAAAGTCTCTGACAAACGTGCTTTGGATTCTAATTATGAGAAGTAACAGCTAGAAGTAACAAGGATTGCAATGGTAACAATTCACCTACCTGTACCCTTTTTGTAGCAGAAGCTTCAGATGGGCTATAGGAATACAGGATTTCTGGCGGGTTTTGATCCCTCTTTGGACTATGAACATCAGGTTGAGAAATTTTCAAGTTCAAATCGACGCTTTGGCCTGAGTGAATGACAAAATCATTCAAACAATATATATGATGACATTAAGGGATTTATTGAACTTCATGTAGCCATTTCTATCCATGAGAAATACAAGAAAACAGACTGCAATTTGTGATTGTACCTTCCGAATCAGCCTCGGTCGATAGATGTCCCTCATATGAACTCGGATCGAAATTGGTGACTGCCTCCCTTCCATTGCATTTTAAAGCTGCTTTGTCATAAGCCCTGATGTTGAAGAACAACAAATAGCAAAACCGATATTGGTATTTGAATGGAACTCTACAAAGTTAAGATTTGTCAGCAATAAGAAAAATCCATGCTTAGACTGACATTGCTGCCTCTTCTTCGCTGTCGAATAGCCCCAGATATATGTACCTGCACATCCAAGCATGGTAAAGAGTGGGTTTCCATTATCATCTCTAGGACTTCCGGTATCAATGACTTTCATATCGATAGAACTGTGAACACAAGCTGATCCAAAGCAAAAACTACAACAACAACAATCGAGTAGTGAGCACACAATTCTTACTTCTTGCCAAGCAACTGCCCCATGCGAGCTTCCCATCGGCCACACTTGTGAAGAGTCACCCCTCTGTATTTGGAGCTTCCTCTCGAAAAGCCAGTGCTTTGTCGGCGAAGTATGTGCACAAACTCTTCTTTTGTCAAATTCTTCATCTGACAAGGTAGAAGGGGACGGATGAATTGTGCTTGTCCATCTACCAGAACCACTACACAACATATTCCAATGCATTCCATTACCTGTTTCATGTCTTCCTCATAGTCACTGAGATTGAAATTGATATCAGCATCAATTCCCCTGAACTTGATTGCCGCTCGATCATATGCCCTGTGATGAGAATCTTAGACCAGTATGAATTCTCCCGAAACATGGAAACAGAGAGAAACAAGTGCAGATGAGAGAAGAAGATGATTCCAACCTCGCAGCCACATGAGCAGTGTTAAAGCCTCCTGTTAGCATCAGGGAGAATCAGAAAAAGAAGATATGAGCATGAGAGAATTACTACCAAGAACAATCAAGAACACAATTACTGCCGGAGAATTCTTACCCAAATAGACCTGCTTCCCGCAATCCCTGTCGACAAGAAAATTCTAGTCAATTGATTGCAAGACTAGGGGAAAGAGATAGACTCAAGAAAGAAGATGCCAACCATATGTGGGATTCCCATCTTCCTGTCCTCCGGTAGAACGTGACTCCCCTGTACTGAGAGCTCCGGGAGCGAGGCCCCCTCCTACTCTTCTTCACCTGTTGTTGTTGTTGTTGTTGCTGCTGTGGCTGTGGCTGTGGCTGTGGCTGTGGTTGTGGCTGCCACTGCCGAGGAAGTGGGACTGTCGCCTGCGGCGCAATATCGGCCTGGTAGAAGCTAGGATCCATCCACTGCAGTTTCGATGATGACGGCGAGGAGGACGCCGCCGGGAACGGTTCGAGCGGCGGCTCAGGCGGAAAGAGCTGCCTGGTAATCAACGCGGGCTCCTGCGAAACAACGTTTCTGACCTCCTCGTTCTCCTCGTCGACATCATTCTCGCCTTCTTCCGACGCGGAGCTCCTCAAGATGCCAAACTCGATGGCAGGGGCGGTGACCGGCCGGGTCGAGCACGAGTTCTCATCGGCCGCCGCGTCAGCGGAGGCCTCGGCGTTGAGGACGGATGATTCGGAGGTATCGGAGCCAATCGCCAGCCCTCCGCCGCCGGTACCTCTACCAATGGTCTCCTCCTCAACGGCCGTCGACTCTCCCGACGACGCCACGTTGAGGTCCAACATCCTTGCGAAAATTATAAAAAAGATTCCACCTTTTGATCTGATTCAGTGTACGCTTGATCTGAAACTACTCTTCTACACTTTGGGATCGAGTTCTGGATTATTTCCGGAAGAAGAGCCACAGCAAGTACAGGTAGAAACAGGACAAGGCGGAATCGTTCTCACGGAACATCTGCCTTGGACCCTCGATGATTGTAACGACTACGGTGGATTCCCCAAGCTCCTATATAAGATCAAGACCTGAAGGAATGGAAGATCACAAAGTTCCCAAGAATCAGATGCGATCAGGAGTAGATGATCAAGAACGAAGTAGGAACACGGATCAAAAGAGACAAGACAGAACATAAGCCCACCAAGACGAGAGCAAAGACCGACGACGAACCGAGGGTCACTGAGGTGAGGTGAGGCGAGGGCGGCAGAGAATTCCGGCAGCGCTGGTCGGCGTCGGCGGCGGCGAAAGGGAGGAGGAGAGACGTGGAGGAGGGAGGGGCGCAAATAATAGAATATATAGAGGTGCGGGGCGACCGGGAGAAGCCGGTGTCCCGGTTTCCGTGGGGGCGGAGCGCAAGAGGACAAAATATCCGCGATTGGGCAAATCTGGTCCGTCGGACGAAATCGGACGGAGAGGATCGCATTCGACGGCTGGAGATTAACTGATAGGTCGTCGCCGCGTGTGAACGAAGGGACAGGAGCCGTACACGTACCGAAGCAAGATTCTTAATACACGAATATTCGTCTTACCCGGAGACGCGCTACTCTCCGGATCACCTGCTCTGCGTTTGGCTGGAAGAGCGGACCCCGAAGGAGCGCCCAACCAAAAGACGAGTGAGAAAGGTGTTGCCGTGCTCGGTAATCGGTGTCTTACGTTGAGTAATTAGCGGCAAGTGAGTTAGGATTAGGTGGCGTTTCTTCGATCCATTTTGGAGGATCATAGGAAAGGGACATCAGAAAATTAATTTGTAGTGGGACCCGAAAGGGATATTTTATGTGTACAAAAAAATGAATAATGGAAGGTAAAATCAAGTAGTCGATCCAAGAAAGATAAATATATTTAGTTGACTTAACATTGCACGTCTTCCTTAGATTATTCAGTACGTTTGCTTATTACTTACTTGTAATAATAAGAAATTCTATTTTCGTGCACTGATTCAAATTATTATCATAAGTATTCTAGAGTTGTGATTGCGAAAGAAATTGGATAACTTGCAAGTGAGTAAAATGAATTACCTATAATGAGTTTATAGAAAGTCAAGGCCTCGGTGGGACTTCACAACAACAATACAAATATGACAATTAAGTCTTACCTCGTCAAAATTGCCCTACCCTACCCACCAAATCATATAGGAAACCAATGTCAAAACTACAATCTTTCATCTTCTAGGAAGCAATCGAATGTGGTTCATGGTATCGTTATCTTCTCAAGCAACTTATATGGTCAATCTAACATTAAAATAGATTGTTTACTGAATGGATTGGGTCTCACTGTTGTCATGCACGAGGATTTGGACAAAATATGTTGTCAAAACGAACACAGGTGTCAAAGTCTAACAAGTACCACTTGTTTCCTCCGAAAACAGAGTTCAGTTTGGTCCCCAACACACGCATCAATCAATCCATCAACTTGCCAACCCAGAAGACACTAACCCATGAAATCTTGACCGTCCATTCGGCAGGCTAATTATAATCGTATATGTTTTAATTATCTAATCGATGATTAACCCCGAGGGCATATTATGAAGAAGTAATGTTATATTAAAAGTTATAAGGGGCAAATATGGTGTTTTAATTACTAGAAATCCAGAGAAAATAATAATAAATAAATAAATAAATGGGAAAGGAACCCAGCGTTCCCCGACCCCACCGCAGGCCAATTGCCTCGGACCACCACAAAAATGGCGGGCCCCGCCTCTCCCTGCTCTTGGATCCTTTCCTCTTACGGTAACGCTCCCGGAACCTTAAATTCTACCTCTTTATCTCTCTCTCTCCTTTCCGGTTATGGCATAGAGTCACGGGCAGTAGCCGGTCGGCCAGGGATAAAGAGGGCGTCGCCGTCGGTGACACCGCCAGCCAAGGACCACACCGGGTCAGGACCAACCAGCAGGCGCCGCGTGTAACCTAAGGCACCGGGGATAATTTCATGTTTGCCCTCTCCCTAATCCTCGCTCCTAAAGTTGTGGACACGGTTTGTCGTGTTGTCCCTCCACAAGAAATAATCGTTTTTATTCTTCCTTCGTTCCCCACGAAAATACTGTTTGCGGTGTGTGTCTCACGCACGAGATGTGTGGTTTTCTGGTGAGATTTTGTGTCTACTTGGATGGTCGTGACAAATGCAAGTGATTCTAGGTTCGTCCGACTTGAATACCACATCGTATTTACTCCAACCTTCGATAGATAGATTATGTTGGAATCCTTTGTTGGTCATAACGATGTTGGCTCCAAAGGGATCAAACATAACACGCCTATGGGAGTAACACACCTTTGCCGGAGACGAGACACGCCATCTTTGATACTTGGAGTGCCCGTTACATGCACCATCTCATGCTTCTTTGTATATTGTTCATGTACTAGTATGATTTGATCCCAAAATCTTGCTATCGGTATCAATGGTCAATGTGTTTAACAGCTAGATTAGAATTTAGCGGAAATAAAAGAATACTATCGTGCATTCTGGGGCCCATGAAGAACCGATCAACGTTGGGCCCCAATCGAATACTTTGTGGTCACGGGACCCAGTGACGCGACAGGTGGGTCCGAGTTGCCTGCCAATCAGCGAGAGACAAGCCATCTGGGTGTTTCAAGTCAGAGGAAAAAGATGGGTGCCTAATTACCAAGAAACAATCGGCCAAATCGAGAGGAACGGGGAAGGAATCTGACAAGTTGATCTTATTTAATTAGTATTATTAAAAATTTCTAATGCAGTCTTGTGATTAAAAAGGTGAGACTCACGCATGTCTTATGCATGGGATGAGGCAGAGTGGGGGTTGAAGTATAGCCAAAACCTAGGAAAGCAACTGAATTGATTAGGCCAAGTTGACACGCTTGCACCGCGTTCTTCTTGTCCCTTTGCCGTGGGCTTTACCCTTTCTTTGCACGTAAGGTCAAAGAGCATGGCGGATGGTGGAGCCATCGCGTTGGTGTTCTCATCACCACAGCCCCACTGTCACGTGACGATACATCACTGCCATCGAACACCGGAAAATGCACTTGCGTGCTTTCCTATTGGTTGGTCTAATTGGGCAATTAAACAAGGAAAGGGATGCCCGCTTAGTAGAGGAACCCAAGTGGTATTATTATTTGCACACACAGATCAAAGAGTAGGAGTTGATGAAGCGCACCTTAAACAATCGTTTTCTCCCTGAAGCCCTCGATCGATCGGTTGAATTGAAGGATCTCCATGTGCCCTTGATTTGGTAACCCAAACGTTGTTTAAAGATCGAGGAGACCTGTGAGGCCATTATTATTATTTCCAGCCAGTCGGGTCAACCGGTTCAGGTTTGACCGACCTCGATCAGTTACTAAACAAAATAAAACATATATATATAATTAATTAAAGCATATGACGACATATTAATTACATTCTAAGAAGTAAAGATCATAAAAAAAAAACAGCATCAATACAAACATCATTAGACTCTTGCTTAAAAAATAGAAGATGAATAGTTTGTTTATGATGGATTGGCCTTTAGGTGGGTGGAGGGGATACGAGGTTTTTGGTGTTCTGGGGGGTTGAGAGACGTGGGCGCAGTGCGTCCGTTCATGGAAAGTCTACGCCGACAAATCCCTCATTTCCTATCTAACCAAACCTTATGATACGATTCTTTTTCTTCTCAACTTTAAGTGTCACCAAACTACTTAAAACAATACATGCTCAGCTACCTGCAATACATATACAATCGAGATACTTAGCCATGCAAGATCTCGAGGTAGATGCTCATGTGGCAATTGTTCGAGAAACCCTAGATGCTATTGGATAACAATTAAAATCGTGTATTACTACTGCACGGTGATGTTGCAATCGAAAAGATTCTATCAACCTGAGACGAAGAAAACACTCTTTATCTGTTTTCTTCTGTATATATATCTACCTAGTGTTACAATTTTCCTACTCTAACAATTTCTTGGAGGAAACTCTAACAAATGCTTCATAGCAAAGCAATATATGCTGTGAAACCACACAAGAAAACAAAAATCCCAGCCACCCATTCTTCTGCTTAATTGGCACTACAAATTCTACACATTTCTACTTGTACAGAACTCTAACTCATTCCCGTGTCTTGTGAAAAAAAAAAAAAAAAACTTTAAGGCCAATCAAATCCCATACAAGTTATAAAATAAAAAACTCAATATAAATTGCCAGCCAATCAACTTGTTCATGGTCTGCTAGCTCCCAATATCTGTTCTGTTCTCCCCACCCATAATAAAGCTTATGATCACTAATTTCACCTTAAGAACCTTAGATAAATTAATTTTAATAAAAAAGTTAAAAGCTCGAGGTTTGTCTGTTATTTAATCTCTCTTCAGCAGCCCATGCAAACTGACATCTACAAACTCAGGTGAAACAACATTGTAGGATTTCCTTTTACTGGTCAAAAGAATCCTTGTCGGCAGCCCTGCCCCATAACCACAAGGCTCTGCCAATGTGTCAGGCATCACTATAGAGACATACCAGATCCCTACTCTATTGCCTACAAGAAAACTAAAACAATAGGAGAGATGAAAGGTTCCTATCTGTGCAAGATTAGTACTCTATGTACTACTCTATGTTATTATTTAAGCTGCCAAGGCCCAGCATGACAGCTCAAAGACGAGGACACTCCCAAGTGTTACCCTCCACGGTGGTTAATCTGATCCTGACTGATCCAATCCTCCATGTGGAACTTCTTGCTATCCTCTCAACTTGTCCGTCCACACCATTAAACAAACCAGCACACCCATCATTACAATATCGAAAATGGTTAATCTAAGAGGTGAGAAGGTAACCTGGAGGGGCAGCAAGAATTTATGAAGCGAAATGCATAGTGTTTGATCAATTTCACATTTGAAACACGAATGATAAGTCAACAGTAAATCGAGGAAGATTGAAGCTGGCGAAGTTTCAATCCTCGAAAACTGTCAAGCCTTCAGCTGAAAAAGTAGCAGTTGACTGATTGGTGCCATTGAGCAAAGCAAGGCCATGCCGATTTTAAGATAATCTGCACAAAAAGTAAATTGTTTAACAAAAATACTCACACATATTATATTGTTCTTTTACTTTAATAAGCAGTAAGGGAAGTACCTAGAGAATAGTTTAAATATTGTAACTAGATGCAATAAGTTAATCAGAAAATTGCATTGGGTTCCCCAAGAAATTCCCAAATTTGTTGATGACTCAGCATGTAAGAGAAGCACAGTTATCAAAAATCTTTTTTAAGATGGATGGAAAAATTGCTACCTTGCCCTCCTCTCACACTGGGAACTTATTTGTGATGAAAGCTCAACATAAAAAGTACATGGGTTTTAAATGACCATGTGTTGCTATAAACTTCAGTCTGAAATCACTAATGACTGATTTCACCATATATGCCATGGTCAAGACATTTATGCAGATATTGCCTAATAACCAGCAGTCTGTCCAAGATCAGACCCAATAAAAGTTGACATAGAACGCTATAAGACACAGGATTTGGTTCTCCACAGCCCATGCAGCCATTTCTTGATATCTTAGTCTGAACCACTATTCAGCTAGCATTAAGATGTTTCACTTCCAAACCACGTCAGTGTGATACATTAATGATATGGGACATTGCTACTTTTAGGGATAGAGAAACACAAAGAATTTCCCATTATATATCTACAGAATCAACACATGTCATGGATCTTAACTTGGGTAGTCAACAATTTAACCATGGAACTTCCAAGACTTTACAAACAATATTACTTTCCTAAATTTGACTATATTACAAAACACTGTAAATCTGTACGACGCTATAATATGATCTCATCGCTGAATTATACGACCAAAGTACACCAAGCAAACTTTTTAATTGAAGATAATTTTATTCAAGATCTTTGAAATACAAGAATAATGTATGATGAAGCACATAAGTCTCATGCAGATATTAATTATTGTCATGTCTGACAGGCTGACAGCCTACCTCCTGATTCCGGTCTACTATCGGGCAGTGTAGTCTATAGCAAACTAAACTGAGTGAAATCACCTGGTCGACGTCCCGGTTGGCTGTCAGAGTGATACCGATGATGTTTCAAATCTTGCTCTAGAGATTTTTAATTGTGGTGAAAATGGCAACAGAAAGGTATGATACATTACCGGTATTATCTAACCAAGAAACTGTTGGAGACTAGCATTGAATACGAGAGTATGACTTGGTCCCCTGGTCAAGAATGTTGTGTCCTGATCTTTGCATAAAGACAATCATAACAATAAAGAAGGTAAGAAGCCTTAAGTAGTTGAAATAAGATGACAAATTCATTTTGAAATGTGAACCTTGACAATGAATGGTGCATATCTCTGCGCCCATAACTTCAAGGCCATCATGACTTAACAATGAAATCCCTGATGACTCGACAACAAATGGAAATGCTACTGCTGGAGATGTGGGAGACTTTGACACCTTAATAAACCTCTGACCTGTAATCAAGTTATTTTGTTAAAATGTTTCTAAATCTGATGCTTGTTAAAAATCATGCTTTTACATTGTAGTCACAGCTTTTGTAGGTGATAATTGCCAACATAAACACATTCACAAGAGTACAGAAAATACAACTGAAACATGATTAAAGACATTAATAAAAGGTAATGTTGAAGGTAATTTTCAAATTGTCTTTCTTTCTCAAAATAAAACACCAAGCGAGAAGTTTATGTAAGCATGTTTTTTCACTCTAATCAAAGAGGTGCAGGCATCTACTAACCTGAATGAGCCTCAAATATAAGACGAATAGTCACAGCATGAGCCCACTGAATCCCCAAAGCAGCAGTTAAATGAGATTCGAGTCTTTCAGAGGTTTTGCCAGTATCATTCTTTTGAGCTGTACAATATTCAACATACAGGTTTAATAGTTCAAGTTAGTCTGCCACGACCAACCAAAAAACCACTTCACATGAATATATGTATCCACACCTTGGAAAGAATAATGAAAAACTTCATCATTATTCTGACTACGCACTTGGTTTGTCACCACAATAGGAATCTGTGAAAACTCAGCAAGGGACCTATAGATTTCACAGCAGCTATTTTAAGCGAAACTTCTAAATAGGTAAAAGCCCTAAACTGTATAGCTCCAGAATTAGAAGTTAAATAGTTCCATTCTCCATCTTCATTAAGTGAAACAACTTGATAATAGCAGAAAAAAAATCTTACTTAAGAAATGATAGAGGCCAGCGCCATGAGTGTTGCTTCTGAACAGTTGTACTTCTTTCATTCTCCCTAGAACCAAATCATGTAAAGGCTTGAGTATATGACTGTGAAACTTGTGAGTAAAAATTATTATGATATAATCATGCATGTAAATGCAGCTCATTTCTGCAAAAACAAATGTAATTCCCTTTTACATAATCTAGGAGTCCAAATAAGGACATTAAAAAGTCATTCAGACATCTCTGTCCATCATCAAAAGGCCAACCAACCTTCATCAAAAGAAGAGAATATGTCAACTGTATTTGACAAGTTAAGCATCTCAATAGAAATTTTTTCTTCACAATAATTATTAAGAGCACATGCATGTATATGAAGAATGTAATGAGATCGTAACGATTATTCGAACTTATGTTTGATCCACTGATAGGTTTCCCAAAAAGTGACTTGGACATGTGAGTTTTGTATAGTTCAAAGTAAAATTTTGGCCTTAAGAATAAGGAAAATATTACACTTGAATTTTTGCGTTATGAATATCTTGCCAACATGATAAGCTCTTTATATAGTGGGCTTTAAACCATAAAAGTGTTGGCTATATGATCATCTCATGCTTTTGTAAAGGACATAAAAGCACTGCTGCGAGCTTTTGAAGCAAGAAAAACATGTTTGCCTCCATTGTGTAAACCAAAACTTGAGCTGCTTGAAGGGTTCAGAAAAAGGACAACACAATTCATAACCTAATATGACCAGATTCTCAATGTAAAACAACTTTAACTGCAGTGCTTAAAATACAAAGTTAAGTGTCACTGTAGATTAAAAAAAAAATCCAATTACACATACATTCAACTGACAACAATTAAGGGAACATTTATCATACTATCCACACAGATCTGATAACCATAATCACAAGTATAAAGAGCTGAAAAAGAATGGAGAGCACCCCAGAAGAATTGCAGCCATGCTGTCAACAATGAGCAACTTCACATCATGCTGGAGAATCATCAGCTTTATCTGTTGCAAGCTGCAATGAAAATTTTAGATAAAGATATCATCTTCTGAATGTCAAGAGTACTGAAGTGAAGAACATAAAAGTTGCACTATATATGTAAAACATATTTTTTTTTAATAATTAGTATAAAATAACTAATGAAATTTAGGGTGATTTCCCAAGAAAATACCCCATTTTTCAGTTTTTCCCAAAGGCACCCCCATTTTGTTTTTCCCAAACTGCCCCTCTACTTCCCTGCCACTGCCACTGCCTCTGCCGCCCATCCTTCCCCTTTCCCCTCCCTTCTTCCTCTTCCTCCTCCTCCCTCCTCTCCCGCCACCTCCTCCCTCCCCTCTCCACTAGAGGCGATGGGAGCAAGGGGCAAAGGCAGCAGACGTAACGGGCAACAGGAGGTAAAGGTGATGCTGATGGAGGCGACGAGGAAGTAGAGGGCAATTTTGGTATTTTTTAATTAGAGGATACTATTTGGGAAAAACCAAAATGGGGGGTGTCTTTTGAGAAAAATTAAAAACTGGGGCCTTTTCTGGGGAAATCGCCCATGAAGTTTCCTCTGTTATTTAAAAAGAGCAAGACTGAAGTTATCTTGCCGATACCTTTCAGTGAATTCAGATAGCGATGAAGGTCGTAGAACTACAATCCTACCAGCCATCTGAAGAACAAAAACATGGAAAAATTTTAAGCCCCTCAAACACCACCTCTTAAATCACCACCAGAGTTACATGCACTAGGTGGCATCATCTTGGCAAATGGATATTGCCAAAACAGAAGTAGACAGCGAGTACACACAACATTTGCAATGAGTAGTTCAGTTTAGCTTAGTTTCATCATATCACGGCTTGTTATTCCCTAATAATTTTGCAAAAAACAAATAGGAAGGAACATCAAGTATCATTCCAAGACAAAGACCACTCAATAACAAGAACTATGCTTCTAGTAAACCTCTTGAGCCATTCCTTCTGACTGAAATATGTGAGGAAAACTACTCTTGCCAATCTCTATCAACCTGTCATTCGATGTTCACATCAGATGAGAAAAAAAAAGCTCCTGATGCAAATAGATGATAATGCTTAGATATCTGAAGTACCTGCTAGAAATAAATTTAGATTCAGTATCCATATATATTATGCGGCCATTTAGTCCTCCATAGCAAGTAGGCAAGGCCGCTAACAGTGCCAACTTTAGACAAAACTGCATTGAGAATAACAGGAAAGTTATCAATTCAATACAAGAACAGAATTTGTGCACTTACTCTTGCATGATAATTCCAAAATATAGCAATAAGGGTTACTGCAAATTTGACCCTGCTTTCAATGGCAAAGATCAATCTTCTGCTTTAAGCTCCCTAGAATAGCCACAAAAGCCAATTATACGTTATAGCTATACAGAGGTTTAAAGCCTGAAGTACGAATAAATATGAATGGAGAACTTCCTGGTCCTGCTTAATGAGTACACCCTTGTTAAAAAGAAGATTTGTACCTACTTATTGTAGAAACAGAAGTATAGATATTTGTAAGGGTATTAGCATCTAATTTTGCTTTTTGTCTTTGTAGCAGTGATACAAAGGTCGTTTTCCAGATCTGCCATCATGTACCCACTGGCAGCATCTTTCTTTGCAAGTTCACACTCAGATGCTCTACGTCGGAAAGCTCATTAAATTGTCCATTTCATCATTTATATTCTCTCAATGCATTTTTCAAAAAGAAACCAAAGGTAACAAATCAAATAAACTATTGGCATATACAAATTGTAATAGTCAGCCTATGCTAGGCACTAAAAATATCAAGAGTAATCAATATCACTCATATAGAATACTTTTAGACATACACAACCATGTATTAACACCAAAATCATCACAATCAAACTAGAAGACAATATATCCAGCTTTTCCTTTCAAATAGTCAGAAAAGCACAGAACCAAGACAACCCAGAGCAAAAGGTTGGCCTTAGAATGCGCATTGAAGTTTATTGAGCACCATTATGCAAATGTCATAGTTCATTGTCAGACTAACACGACAAACATAAATAAGAACAGAAACCGATGCCCTACCTGGGTTTTGCCGATTCCTGATGGACCAACCAACTCCGTGAGAGCGCCAAACGGAATTCCTCCGCACAATGCGTCATCGAGGCCACGAAGGCAGGTGGGGAGGTGGCATGCGGATCGCGCACGATCCTCCAAGAGCGATAGCGCCTGCGGAACCACCGGATCTACATCAAATGCTAGCAACAGAGAAAATATTTAATCGCATCGAAGAGGTTGAACCCCGTGAAGCACCGTTCGGCAGGGAGGGCAGGCGATCTCGCTGATGCGCGCGACGGCCGACCTGACCTGGTCGAGATCCAAGCCCAGAAGGGCCACGAGATCGAACTCCGGCAACGAGAGAGCATCCTGAGGAAGAGGAAGAAGGCCGCAGTAGCAGCGTGAGAAACCCTAAATGTCCACGGGGAAAGAAAGCGGATAAAGGAGGAGGGATTGGCGGTGAAGGAAGAGAGAAAGGCGGAGGTATTTATAGCCTTGGCGGTTAAGACGTTGCGGGCGGCGAAGACGTTAGCGATGGAGGCGGGGAGGCCCATTTCGCTGATGAGCTTGTTCGACATCGCTGCCGCCGTCGCCGCAGCAGGCGGTCTCTTCGTCTTTACGTCGCTGGAAACAGTGGCGCCTTTAATGGTGTTTTTACACATTAATCCGTCTCCAGTTTCAAAATAACATATTTATCCTTATAAATTAAAATATAACAAATAATAAGATTATGTGCTCATATTACTTTCATAGAAGTCCATGGAAAATATAGTACAATTTTTTTTCGAAAAACCTCAAACTTTCACTTTTTCCCGTAAAGTGTCCATATTTTTTTAAAAGATAATATTATTCTTGAAAATCGCTTGATTTCATGTAAAATTAAATCAGATAAAAAATTAATTTAATTTGAATCGATATTTTTATCATATACTGTATATCCCTATTTCACATTTTTACCATATACTATACGACTTAAGTATACTGCTATAATTCCAACTTAAACATTTTGATAAGTGATTTAGACAAAACCCAAGATTATGTGTCAGAAAGGTTCTAGGATTTGAGCATTTCTTATTTCTAAGATTCCAAAACTACAACAACAATCAACATTGCTTGAGATAAAGTATGTTTTCATTTTTATAAAGATATTTACTAAGAAATTTAAATTTTGATTTATTGTGTAGATTGATGTTTATCTTATCATGTGTTGATTCAATTTTTATTTTTATTTTTATTTTTTCACAAACCTATACTATGTTTCTTGATGATTATACGATATTATATTCTCATCATATCTAATATTATTTGCTTCTCGTAAAAAAATATTATATTATTATAAATTTTCTTATAGGTGTCAACTCTATAATAATCTTACAATTTGAATTATCATTCCTACACTCAATGACATGAGAATATAAAAAATTTAAAATAATAACCCTATAGCATGAGAATATAAAAATTTTAAAATAATAAAACATCAACACAAACAACTTTTTTCTTTGAATCTACTATAACTATTTTAGAGAATTAGTGCTTTCCAAAAAATCATCGATTTTAGAAAAAAAATCGTATTGTGCTTGACTTGAAGTAAGTGAACTAAGCAATTAACTTAGAGAATAATAGCAATGAAAAACAGAATGTAAATGCAAATCGAGTTTATAGTGGTTCGATCGTCGTGATCTATGTTCACTCCCGAGTAATAGTACTTTTTCAAAATTTTTACAACTCAAATCTCAAGACTTTGGTTTAGCTCTGTAAGCAAGAAAGATTGGGGTATTTATAGGCCCCAGATGGCTTCAAAAATGAAGCAAAAAAGTGTCTTATCTCATATTTCGGAGGTACTAGCGGTACCACCATTTGTCAGATTGACAATTAACGATACCATTGCTTGTCAGTCTAACACTGGACGGTACCATTGCCCAATCTGACATTAATACTGGGCGATACCACCATCTAGTCTAACGGTACCATTGCTTGACAAGGTCTCAGAGATTCGACTCTGATAGTACTATTGCTAGTCTAGGCGATACCCCGCCCAAACAACCTAAGAGGTCGAGCCTTAAGAGGTGCCACCGCTAGCCCTGACGACGCCATCACCTGGGCCAACAAGGGTCACTGGGCCTTCCACTTGACCCAAAACAACCTCAACTCAGGCCCAATTGACCCCTAATTGAGTTAGTAGGGTTACACCGAAACCCAACTCAAATTAAGACTTAACTTCGATAATAAGGACTTAAACAATTATAAGACAGTAATTCTAAGTTTTCCGGCTTATCATTTGTTCATTTGAACTCCTGGCGAACTTCCGACGAACTTCCAATGCATCGTCCGAACCTTCGATATATCCCCCGATCCATCGACAAGTTGACTCCCACAACTTCCGATCTTGGCGCAACGTCCGATTCTTTGGGGTCGATGCCCATTTTTGAACTCCGGCCTAACGTCTGATTCTTTTTGCTTCAATCATTTTACCTTTTCTGATAGAAGTTAGTCTTGCATCGTTTTTCTTAAACAACACATTAGATCATAAACTCATCGATTGATTTCATCATTAAAATCCGGGATTCAACACAACCTTGATATTAGTAATTTAAATCATAAGCTAATAGATAAGCTACAAACATCCTACGAATTTGTACTTTCCAATGCATTTTTTATGAGAATTGAATAACAGCGGCATATTTTCTTTATCTCAATTTTAGATATTAATATGAAACTTTCTTTATGATGTTTTTCTCAACTTTTGCATATATTCATTAAGTTTGTACATAGCTCAAAATAATTTTGTAACATGTTTGTCTCGCACATCCCTCGTAAGAGTTTTAGATAGATACATTATGCAATAATCATGATATACTACTGAGATTTTATAATTGAAAGAATTCATAAATTTCAATTACTGATAATAGTCGAATTTTCATATCATATAATAATTTTTTCTTAATTGATGCAAGAGCTACTCTTATAAATGTCTACAATCCATCTCCATCACAACAAATGCAATTGGAAATAATCTAATTAGCCATCATCAAAGTTCCAAGATATTTGCCTGATAGATGTGCGATTACATATATTATTTAAAACTTCTAAGATAAGCTCCAAAACCATAAAATATTCTTTAAAAATAATTTTTTGATGAAATTATTATTTGGTTGAGTCTTATAATCATACGATTTTAACACCCTTAAAAATAAAATTATGATCCTCCAAAATCACCACAAACTCATTAAATGCAATCTCATGTGTAAATCTTTTTTTGAATATCAACAATAATCATCTTCGGAGTATAATCAACATTTGTCATAATTTAATTTTTGATTTGATCTATAATGAAAGAATTATTGTATTTCTTACTATCCCTATTCAATCTTGGCAAATTCCAATAATACTCTTATTGAAATTTGGTGATTCAAAAACTATTAATTCAACCATGAGTTATTATCATCCATTGACAATCGAAAACCTTACAGTTTGATTTTATGTTCTAACTTCTAGTTACAATATGTTTGAAATTTAGCCCTATCTCTAAACACATGTACAAAGACATTATTTGAGTTACAAAATTATATATATATATATATATATATATATATATATATATATAATACAATAACTTGAATATTATTCAAATATAAACAGATCAATATATGAATAATCATATATATCCTCACTTAAGATAACTCACTAACCAACAACATCTAATACATCATAAATATTAAGGTTTAGGTCACTTTCAATTTTTTCTTATAATCTTTATTCAGATAATTTATTTTCAAACTCATCAAGTCTATAAAGAAAATCACAAAACATGAGCTATGCAGCAAATAATTTTTACTTGTCTATCTATCAATATCATTAAAAATTAAAAACACTTCACGGGAGTAAGATCCTCCATATAATGATATCATTAGAATTAAAAAATTATTTTTTAAAATCAATGAACGAATGTAACAGTAAAATAAGTTATAACATTGGCTTCTATGAAAGTACAACATGAAACATATGTTTTTCTTAAGAAGAAAAGAAAAAAACAAAGAACAAGAAGATAAATAAGAAGAACAACAGCAATCTAGGTATGAAAGAAAGGAGAAGACAAAAAAAAAGAAAAAGGACATGAACAAGAAGAAAAGTGATAAAAGAGAAGTTTTTTTATTTTTTTTATCGAAATCAACACCCATCGTACGATAGTACCTTACGTACATTTTACCAACCACTTTACAGGTCTCATACAGATTAGTCAACAAAGCTTTACTGAACCGACGATCCAAAAATCATTGGTTTTGACGAAAATATAATAACCTAATTGTCCAAGGATAAATGGGAAAAATAGCTCACCAAGAGGTGTTGTTTAGGTATTTTTCAAAGTAAAAGTGCTCTCCCAAAGAAAATCCATATTAGGGGATTTTTTCGAATATTTACCCAAAAAATAATCACTTGAAATTATGATAGAAAAGATAAATTACAATTAACAAAGCTTTAGAACTTACATACATGGCATATAACCATAGTTGATTGTCAGCATAATAATGTTAAAACTAATTTATACTAATACTCTCTTGAAAACATATCAGAAGTATTAATAAATTGTGTAGGATCAAATAATTGGTGAAAGTAATACAAAATTAGGCAATTAGAAGGGTAAATATGCAATTTCCAATACTAAAATGATATGTGTGTGTGTGTAAAAATGCAAAAATATATAAATATAAAACACCTAAAATAAAATCATAAGGGTTATTAAAAGACATTACTATCAATTATAGTTCTAACTATAAACTCGATATAAGATTTATGAGAAAATATATCAAGATTTTACTTGATGATTCACTGAAAGATGTGTTGGCAATATGTGATACCATTTAATTACCTATATGAACCAAAATGTAGTCTAAAGCTGTCATTGTTTTTAGAAACAGAGCTTGTAGTGTTAGAACTCGATAGTAGTTTGCAGTCCACAATATTAAAGCTAGTAGTACTCAAGCTTTACTGAACATCCATTTCCAACTGGAAGAGTCAACTTTAGGAGATTAAAATGCATAAGAGAAGGTCATTTACCTCGGTTCCAAGCTTCCTGCCTCCTCAAGAACTTTGCTTAGGATCATGGTAAGCAGAGTTGCATGGACATGGTCATCAAATTAGGGTTTGGAAATGTACCTGCATATCTGGTTCAGAAACCCACAGAAACCAAAACAATGAATCCATTTTATAAGATATTACACTGCTAAAAACGCTAAGCAAGATAGATTCGTTAGCCATTAGGCTTGTCATCACAAAATCTTATTATGACATAAATTGCTAGTCAAACCAACCAAACCACTAATGAAACTCTTGTAACCTACCTACAGAGAGACAGTGCCAATTCAAAATTCAATGATTCTGATCTCCAGAGGCTAGGCTACTGACCATATCACGCAGCTCCAGCGTCAACTGACAACATGCGCAAGCCAGCCCTTCTCAATAACCTACTCAGACAACAGACAAAAAATAATAATAGAAATGAGTCAGTCAATTACTCCAACTTGCCAGGTATAAAATGCTTACTCCTTGGTGGCACCAACAAAATAGAGGGGATCCTGCCAGAATGACTATGGTCAGTAAGTTAATAATGGTTGATGAAAATTTGATGGAAGAGTCTTAAATGTATAAAGAACTCTAGATACTAAATATTTTGTAGGATGCAATGCATGAGAAAATCATGTTGGTGCACTGTGAGAACATTCCACTATCAGCCTATGTTTTTTGAGGAAAAAGAATAATCAAATGACATTTATGGTTTATTGGACTAAGCCTCAGCTAGCAACAGGATCTACAGCATGAGCATAATCATATTAACCAAGGCTCCTGCTTCATCACATTCATCTTCATAGTAAAGGAGAGGGGAGCATATATCATGTGTGCTATAAATAAAATATAGTTTGAAGTAGAAAAAACACAAATAAATAGGTACTATTGACCGTTCAAAGTTTCTGTAAGAAGATACATGACTTTAAGTGAGACAGCAGGGAACGGAATACAAAACCACAAATACTTATTTTTTGCAGATTCATGCAATGACAATGGAACAAACAAGAACCATAAACAGCAGAAAAAGGAATAGAATATCCAATTAATCAAGCATGTGCATGTCACAACCCGACTTGATGAGATAATTGATCTATCAAATTCGTTTATTCTAAATCACTAGCCAAAATACTTAAGCTAAGATTAATAATAATACTCTCACAAGACCCTTATAAGTCTATCTTAGTCTTGATCACTTTCGATGTGAGACTAATCGAGATATTACAAACTCCTTCACTCAAGGGCTTAACATCCTCGTTAAGACCCAACATTACCCAGATTAAACCATAGCATAATGCATATAAAGCATAGCCTAGTGGTGAGATAACTGACCTATCAACTCCATTTAATCTAAACCACTGGTCAAAATACTTAGACTTTAATTGATAATAGTACATCCATCAGACTCTTATAAATCTATCTTAATCTTGTCCATTTATAATGTGAAACTAATCGGGGTGTTATAGTACAAGCACTGGTTTGTTTCACGGTGAGGAAAAAAATGTTGTATGTTCACAAGAAATGCTAGGTTGAGTTGAACTGCAATAACCAAATATGTGATTGTAGTCACACTCCAAGTTAAAATTAATATATGAAGTATATTTCAGGTATTGAAGCCATATTTAAGAGGAGATTTACATGGTTTAGCTTTTCCCTGGAAATAAATTACATGAATGAATATGACTAAATAAGACATGCCATGCAACACTTCTACAGTTCTACCTGATTTCCAGTTTGTAGTCGTTCAAACTTGTTGTCAACAAACATCCCCAAAAAAGCTCCTTCAAACTTGTTGTCAACAAACATCCCCAAAAAAGCTCCTAAGAAGTATATATTTCCTAAGTATATATTTCAGTTGTCTCTATTGAAACATCCGACTGGTTAGTGCATTGTTGCACAGTTTTCAGGTTCAAGTCCACTGTGTTAAAATTAACAAATAACACAATTTAACTTGTCAAATGAGAATGAGAAGAACAAACACTTTCTATATCAGAATTTCCATCAACATGGATGCACAAATTAACTAAGCATCTTGCAAAATTGTTAGATAATTGTTCCGACTTTAGACATCAAGTCGATTGCTGTTGACTATACAAACAGCTGAAAATGTCATTTTAAAACTCAGCAAGGGCAGGTTTTCATCATGAAATATCAGGGCACAAATGTACAGCTCTGGAGTATATAACATCCAAAAATAAAGTCAAACTGCAGTTGAAATTAACAAATATAAAGCAAAAAGATAGATAAACTTGCTGACCAAACCAACAGCTCATTCAGATATCCATTAGGATCAGTATGCATGTTATCTTACATATCACCCACATCTTGTTAAACAATTAAACTAAACAGATAACAATTAGATGCACATTTAATTCATACAGCAACTAAGATAGTTACTTGAATGAAGTAGAGACAGCAAAAACCTTATAGCTATTGCTATATCCAAAATCTAAAGCATATTCATTGCTGTCATGTGCTATTTGGATCTTGATACTATCTCCGACTACCTAAACCTATAGCTACCGCTTGCTGCCCAAAGATGTTATGTTTCCCTTCAGTATTGGAAAACAATTTCTCCATCAGCATCCCTTTTAAAGATACAATGTCTTCTTTCTCCTAATAAGGTCCATGTCTACCCAAATCTATACTGCTGACCGCTGGGCAATGGTCATATGTCATAAACAGAAATACAATCATAGGCATCCTCTTCTAAATTATCTTGGGGACTTTCAGCCTCCAATTCATGTACAGTGCTAACACTAGCAGAACCAATCTACAGATATTGTTCAGCCTTTGGCATAGAGACTGATGAAAAGAATAATTTTGGTTGCTCTTTGCGCTTCTTCCTCTTCTTCTTCTTCGGTCTCTTTGCCCGCGATCGTCCATTTCTTTTTCGACCCTCAGATCCATGTTCTTCATCAAAGTTGTTGCAAATAATAATATCGGACCAATATGAGTCTTGAATGTAGTCAGGTGTAGCCAAATCCGAAGAGACTTTCTTAATTCTTGACAACCTTCTCCTACTCTGTTTACCACCAATGACATCTGGCAATCTCTTATTCTCGGAAGAACTAGAAACCAGCCAATCAATGAATTTAGTGAAGAACCTGACAGTTGTATCCAGGAAACTATATGTTTCAAGAGGATTCCTTGCAGCTAAGCACAGATGTGAGAGCATTTCACAAGAGGAGGAGTCCGTTAAGTCACCTTCTTTTACTCTTGGGCTCCTCACTTGCACATTAGGATAATCAGGAACAGCACTTCTATGTTTCCAGTCGGCTAGACTCTTTTTTATCATAGTGGGTGATTGAAGTCTCTCTCCTCTGACCCATCCATTGCGTCCTCGAACCTTGAGCTGTTTAGTTTGATTTGAAGACTGTGTTGTCAGATCCCTAAGAGAGTTGAGCTTTTTCATCTTACCCTTTCCTGAGACAGCAGGACAAGAATTATCAACCTTTTGTCTCCTACCTGATGAGCCCAAAGACTCTCTTGTTCCAGACCCACTTCTAAAACCATCTGCATTACAAGTAAAGCTTTTCACACCCATTAGCTCAGACAAGCTCCTCTTTTTCCTACGGTCCTCCAAAACAAATTTCTTCCTAGATTTTCCCCAACTGTCCCATGGCTTCTGCTTCCAAGAACCAGAATCTGGTGAATCTAAAGCGGACAAATCAACATTGTCCTCACCATGATTTCTTGCCATAGCTGGTGAACTCACATCATCATTCTCTAGCCCTTGACCCAGGACAAATACACAAGGTTCCAGATGCCCATTTGATCGACGAAACGCTTTCAGATGAGCTTTTGCTATAACCAGATCCAAGCGATCAGCTCCACTACATGGGGACATAGCTAAAATCCGCACATAGTCAATTAATTTCTTGGGTTCAAAAGAGTTCATGATCCAAGATTTGTCAACAGAAGAACCATATGTCCCTTCCCGAACCCCAGCATTCTGAAACTTTCTGTCCTTAAGCATAGCATAAGCTTCGTCACTTAAACAACCGCATGTCATTCCCAGCTCTATAATCCTAGAAACCTCTCCTAGTGCATCATTTACCGCAGTACCAAATGCATCTGGGCTACCCTTCTTCTCCAAATGTGTGAAGCATGTCTGGAAGGGCTTCAAGTGGGACTTATCGCACCAAGCAAAAGTTTTCTCGCCAAAGTAGACTACCAGAAAGCGGCCCTCCTTCTGAGCATTCAACGCCGTTGCCGATGCATCCGCCTCATCAAATATCTGCCCGGGCCACCAAGGGTGGTTCCTCACCTTACCCCACACCAAGTCCGAGACCGTGAATCCATCCTTCTTCTCATCTTGAAAGGGATGCAAATACCTAGCATGTAGACCATCCTCTATGGTAGCAAGCCGCGGCCGCCCTCTCTTCCTCCTTTCGGGTGGTTCTTGTTCCTGCACATGTACATCGTGGTCTCCGACACCACCTACATCTGCATCGGACTCCGCACCACACTCAGCAGTAAGAACGTGACCTTTATCCGCCACCTTTTCATCGAGCAGCTCGACCTCTGCATCCTCTGCTCCGACTTCCATGACAACCTTCGCCTCGCCCACATCGGTCATATCGACATTCTCTTCCGTTACCATCTCTCGTGCTCCCACCTTTGCAGCAACTTCCGCATCAACGTCAACTGCACGACCCGAGCCTCCAATTCCATTTCGCGCTCCTGTAACCTCGATCGCCAAGCTCTGCGCCGCATCTTTGTCTGCTGCGCCTTCTCCATTTGTTGATTCCGCTTCCAGATCGATGGCCACCTCAAAGGCTGTCGCGACGGCTTCCGGCGTAGGCTTCTCGGGCGCGGTCGCAGCAACTGGGGCGGAGACGGCGGAGGAGGGATCAGGCATGCTGCCAGCGTCGTCCTCCGATGGATTTGGGGGCGTGCGAGGAGGAAACCCTAGAAATTTCTCACGCGGATCCCTACGAGGGATCGGTTCGAGCCAGCACGAGAAGGAAACCCCCAAAGATCAGTAGGGGAAGAAGAAAACCATTATTTCGGACACCGAAGCAAGCGGAGTCGGCGAGGAGGAATGAAACGAAGCTCTATGGAAGGGTGCCTCCCGAGGGAGAGGCGGAGGACGCGTACGAACAAATGGTGGTGAGATTACCGCTCAAGCTTTCGCTTTCAGAACCCCTTCGGATGCACCGAACAGTCCTCGTCAGAGTGACGACCGCGAGTGGAAGTGGGCCCTCAAAATGAACGGTCCAGATGAGAAAATAAGATTGTAAATAAACCGAAATTGTATAGGATCTCCGCCATCTGTGGATCCGTTTGCGGTGATCGGGAGGTGTTCCGAAGTGACGGTATCTGTAACACACGTTCGAAACTTGTCTGCAACGCCCGCGGTGAGATTATGGTGAACGACAATAATAATGACAAAGTAAAATTAATTTTCATAAATTATCGTCCTCCTTTGATAATATCTTTTTAAAAGTATTTTTATATATTATTTTAAATAAAAATAGAACTAACAATAGCGATGACGATTAATAATAATTATCAATATTATCATTTTAATAGCTAAAACGTAATATGCATAGTTGCATCACTCAGAAGTTTTTCTTTTCATATAATTAAATATCTTTTTATTTGATACTATTGGATAAACAGCCTATCATATTCTCACATTGTTCGATTTGAATCATATTGAAATTAGAATCGAATCGACCTATCAATTCATAAATTCTAAACCAGACTATATGTGATATATGTGATTCATCAATTAGAATTGAAATTAAACCTCAAGAATAAGAACTCGAATTTGATATATACAGGCTATAAATAATAAATATAATTCTGAAGTTATTATCGTAGCTAATAATCGATAACATGAATATATATACGTATACACACAAATATAATTTTTTACTGATGTTTCACTCACATAGTAATATTTTAATAATAATCAAGTGTATAGGATGTTAATCACAATACTCAAAGCCCTGATCACTATTTCTATATATATACAACACATTGCTAAGGGAATGTTTCCTTACAATACTTACATTAAACGACAT